TTCAGAAATTTTCAGACTTGTTTTTGTGTATAGTACATGTTAGCTACTAGATTGTCGAAATCTATAACAAGAAATTTGCAAATGTATCGAAGTATCTTGAGATACAATTGGCAAGTATCGTATTGGATAAAATTTTTGTGGCAGTATACTCTATTACTTTTTGCATGAGTATCTTGTATCGTATTGCAATACAATTTCAAAGTATCTTTGCCCGGCTCTCACTGCAGTGTAGAGGTGCCAAGCTGTGAAAGGCTGTCAAGGGAAAATCCACTCTGCCGCAAAGCCCCACTTCAAATTTAAAGGGGCCCTGCAACACTTATTTGAGCATTGTCAAAAAACGCTGCCGATCAGTGCTCGAGGCTACTCAGAACACCCGAGCAAATAATATAGCACAGCACGTGGCCTGCGACTCACAATAAATTCTCTAAGTCAACTAAAAACTCTTCTCTTCTACAGGCAAATGTAATGAGAAGCTAAAAAATAACTCGTCGCAGCCGTTGTATCAGCTATTAGCTGATTTGAGCATAGCGAACTCGGTCGTTAGTGGGGCCATCGTCAGAGGCCCCCACTTGTACATGCACAATCCCATTAAAAAGCTGCGTATTCGAAAAAAAAAGTGCTCAAGGGTCACGAGGCATGCATGACGTATTTTCTTTCTCCATGCCATTCCTAAGTGCTTAGCTTCCAACGCTTTTGTTTAGATGAGAAGAGAGAATGCAACTGTGACGTGTGATAATCTTTGAAACTTTGCCAGGCGGAGTTTTGCAGTGGTGAATTCGTTAGGCAATAAGCTTCTTTAGTGAATCTATTCCATGGCTTTTCGAAAAGATGTTGCAGGGCCCCTTTAAATATAGATGACATTTTCTCATCTATTCATCATTTTTTAAGCTGGAAAGCTTGTTATGATGGCTTATATTCTCTAAGTATAATAAATTTTAAAATGACGTTTCTTACAGGTTGTCACTCTCATCATACTGGGAATCATATCCTGCTGCTACACAACGTTCTTTCGACTTCCTTTGAATGAAAAATAAAGGGAATTGGCATAGAGGCCTTATTTGTGTTTAAAAAATATTGCGCAAGTTAGTTAGGTCATCATAAATATGCCAATTTTTTTTTATGTCGTATACACTATTTGAATTGGATTCAAAATTATTCGACCAAAATCACTATTTGCTTCGAATTCGCTTCGAACATAAAATTCACTATTGGCACAAGTCTAGTTATAGAACAGTTTGTTTCTCACAGCTGGTACACCCACCGCATTGACTGAGTGAAGATATTTAGGGAGCTTATATTTGCCAGGGGAAAAATCTCGATGTTACCGTGAACAGGTTTTAATGTCTGCATGGCATTCCTGAAGGAAAATCACCTTATCACTGCAGACACTTCAAAGGCCTTTCAGTGCAGTGCTCGAGACCGTGTTGTATGGTACCCGCAAACACAGGAAAAGCGGATCAAACAACTGCATAGCATGCGATTTTCTTTGTATAACACCGATAACTTGTTGTTTATACCCTGATTATTGCTTTTGTTCGTATTATGATTTCCTGCAGCAAGTTTGCTTCTTGCGAATGAATCTGTACAACGGACTGCTTAAAAACCTTTCAAGCATTTAGCATTGCGAGAAACTATTAGGGCACTCAATGATATTACACCAGCCCTCCCCCTCCTCCCAAGCCTGTATGTAATTACCTTAAAAGAAAAACGAAGGGCAGGAACAAGGGACAAACCAAGATTTTCCAGGTCAGATTTTATTACAAACAGCATCTGAATAGCATCTGGTCTTAATTTCTTCAAGATTTGCTGAAATTTGTGTCCTCGCAGTGTGCCTACAATAAAGCAATAAGGTGAAAAGTCTTACACGGCAGCAACGACATTTGCACTGTCCATATACATTTTCTCTACAGGCACGAAATAACAACTGAGTTCACGATATTGAATCATTTTTGTGGCTGGTTATGAAACAAAAGGATGGCAAAAATCACGACGCATCACCAATGTCTCATAGAGCATAGTTTAGTTATAGGCCAACAACCAGCTTCCTTAGTGCACACATACTACAGCGTTCTGGACAGACAAACAAAAGGACAAATGAACATAAACAGTAATGACGATTGCTATAGGGTGAGCTCAGAACAACGACAAAGGGACAGGAGTTGTTCTGAGCTCGCGCTATAACAATCGTCATGTCTTACCAACTAGCCCAAACCGCCACCCTTCTAACAAACAATAAATCCAGTGGCATTCTGTATTATTAAAGCGAAAGCTTTTTTGGCATTGTTGAGCGAGTTTCGATGTGTATTTTCTCTTGCCCTTGAGGCGAAGAACAAATACCTTACCGCAAGCCGCACAAAATTTAGTTGTAATGTAGCAGCTGTAGAAGACTGCTAGAGTCTACAGGGAACGCATTTGTCGGCTCGTCTGTCTACCTCTCTAAATGCTCTTTCTCGGTGACCAATATGAAAGTACAGGAATGCGAACATCTGGCAACACAGGAAGACGTGAACAGCGAGCGTTTGTTGGTGGTTTACGGGCCTGGCATTTCTCTCGAGAAATGCGGCGACGATTTTGGAAACCGATTAAACACATATAGTGAATGCACGCAGTACCACACGTTTGACTACCCATATGGGTTTATTGGTGAACTGTGCTTCGACTACGAGAATAAACAAGCTAACCAGCTTTCACTCGCATAACCCGGTGTAGCCAAACGAAGTTTCATCCATTTTTTTTTTTGTGCAAACATTGTCCAGGAAAGGAAAACCTTGCAGATATGATCACCAGAGGACCTAATGCCGAGTGGCTTCCGAATTGTGCTGGCCTTCGTGGCTAGGCACTGAGTACAGCGAGTTCGAGCACCTTCGGACCTCTTGACCAAAGAGGACCACACCATGCAGAAGTCCACGAAGCACCGACTACAATATCTCATTTACAGCAACATGCTATTCATGTCGCTAAGTATAGTTCCATTAATAATGTACACCGGATCACTGCCTGGGTTTCGCGATTCTTCAGCAAGCTAAAGCATGAGAGTAGTGCAACGGCATTTCTCGCCTCATACGAAACTGGTTGCGCCAAGTCCAAGCAGAAGCATTTTCGGAAGAGATATGGACAATTCGAAAAGGCGAGCAGCCCTCCACGATGTCACCTCTATGTAATACCTCGACTTTTCTAGATGACACTGGTATCTTGCGCGTGACAGGACATCGTCATTACAGTCAAAAAGCTTATTCTGAGCGACATTTAATCATTCTTCTGAAAAAGCATCCTTACTCAGAACTTGTACTTTTTTAGCACCATTGCCGACTCCTACACGCTGGTGTACGAGACACACTCGACTTACGGTTGCAGTTATAGATTTTGCAAGCATGGCAGCTAGTTTAGAAAGTAATCAAGGAATGTGTAGTGTATTGTCAGCATGCAAGACCATTTCAGGAAAAAAACCCTCCTTTACCTCTCGACACAGTAAGCAGAGCCGAATCATTTCAAGTTGTGGGAATCTACTTCGCTGGACTGCTACTCGTCAAGGTTGCCCAATCGTTTAGGAAAGCGCACATTGTACTCTTGACCTGCACGGCTGTCAGAGCCATTCACATCGAGCTGGTTGAAGACATGTCTGCTTCCAGCTTTCTACACGCCTTTTGCTTCTTTGTTTCCCGAAGAGGATTTCCTGCGACTGTATACTTCGACAGTGCTCTCACTTTCAAACAAAGCAAGAAAGAACAACTTAACCCATGGAAAACCATGCGGTCGGAAATAGTATGATTCATCAGACTGACCTTGAAAAAAACTGTCGGACACCGTAGCCTCACGAAGGACGAACTTGTCATGACTCTAACAGAAGTTGACGCCATTCTAAAGTCCAGGGCAATATATTTATAGTCACGTCCGAGATTCGGAATCCCTCACACAAGTGTATTTTTTCGCAGAAAAACGCCTTGTCTCTATTTCAAGCTTGAGGTCATCTGAGTTGCCCTTGGTGGCATCACGCCAACTGAGCCAAATATGGAAGCAGAGACAGCACAATCTAGAGGACTTTTGGCTACAATGGGAAAAGGAATGCCCTCAAGAATTATGATCATCCCGTCAGCAAAAGCCAACTGCGGAAGTGAACATTGGAGATGTCATGTTTCTTGAAGACTGCCTACTACCATGCCAACTGTGGAAGCTAGCCATAGTGACCGAAGTTCACGCTGGTTGGGATCGAGAAATAAGATTATGTACCATCAGACTTGCAGACCCAACGCGTCTACAATGACCTACCAAGGTGCTCTACCCTTTGGGTTCACAAGCTTTCATGAACTTTGTTTTAGCGCGAGGCAGGTTGTTGCAACTTCCTACGAGCATTCACGCGTGGCTCGAGACGCGTTCTGTTTTTTTTTCTTTTTGCCTAGTTGACCAGCCGGTCAAGAATAAGTTTTCTACGGCATTAAAGCCTTTCATTCCTCTACCAAAGGCGTTTGTCTCTACAGCCTCGCTGCCAGGCTTACTGCTGGCTTTACAGCGCTAACCATAATTATGATGATTTGATTGATTGATTTGTGTGGTTTAACGTCCCAAAACCACCATTTGATTATGAGAGACGCCGTAGTGGAGGGCTCCGGAAATTTTGACCACCTGGATAGTTATGATGATGGTGAAGACACTTGCTAGCACAACGCCACCAACCGCTCGATGGTTGTGAAACCTAAATGCAGTTTATGCACTAGATGTTGTGTGCCACGAGGCGCAAGCGACTTTACAGGGAGTATTAGCACTCCCACAACCTATTAAAAAATACTCAGTATACTTCGAGTATGTGCTATTCAGTTTGACGATCGAATTGCATAGAATGTTATTTTATTCTTTATTGTAGTTTTCAAATATACGCATGTTTTTGTTATGTACGTTTCTTGTATTCCTATATTTCTTAGTCTGCGATATATTGAGTTAGAAAATCAGTTCAGGTGAAACCACTGCGGAAGTGTTTAACCTATGTTGTTGTTGATCTGTTACAGATGGCGAGCTCTCGGAATAGTGCGTTGAGGGACCTTTTCCCATATGGCTTTTCGGTGCACCATGCAGGCATGCTGCGTAGTGATCGAAACCTGGTTGAAAAACTGTTCAGTGATGGCCTCATCAACGTCCTCGTGTGCACCTCTACACTGGCTTGGGGTGTAAACCTCCCAGCTCATGCTGTTGTCATCAAGGCAAGTTCATGGCTATGTAGCACTGCTTTTGAACCAGAGCCAGCCACGAATTATTCATCATTGTTGGTCACCAACAACTTCAAAACCCCTGCTAGGCTATAGTCTTCTTAGCCAGTTACCACAGCAGTCTTCAGGGTTGACAGGATTGGCATATGACACGAGTACACAAATCAAAGTGCAATCGAAGTGTTACCAAAAACACTTTACTAGGCTTTTGCAAATGGTAATTTTAGGTTCGAAGCAGGGTGATCTATACTTTTTTTCACCACTTTGGTTCAGCACTACCAAAGCTTCGGGGTGCAAAGCCCTAACCGCATGCATGCGATTTCCTAGCGATAGCGACAAACTTGCTCCATCGCGACAGCTGCAATCGCATGTCGGCGACAAAGTGTCATTGTTGCTTGGATTAAAACGATCGGGTGCATACCCATGAATTGAGGATAGAAGTTTAGAAGTTGGTTGACGACAATATGCCAAATTTAATACTGTCTTGTTAGGCCTAAGGAAGCCACAAAAGCATTTCACGGCCTTCTTTTTTCGCAATCTTTGGGGACAGGCTGCCTAGAAGTGTACACGCTACGACGACTACAACACACTTTGCATGACGATTTCGCATTGTAGCAAGCAATCAATTTGTCACAAGCCACCATTAAGACATTAAAACAAACTTTGCTAACGAGATTTACGAGAAAATACAGCCGCTCTCTCACCCTCAGCTTGAGGTGAGATTGTAATGTGAGGGCTCTGCAATGTAGACAAGGCGGCAATAAGGCGAAAACAACTTTAATAAACCGGAGCTACGGCATCAATGCAGTCATAGAGCATGCGCGTGCCTAGGAACCACTACGAAACCGCATCTCGACTAGCTCGACATAGAGCTCAGGGCTGCCAGATTACGTGAGGTCTCACATCCGACCCCTCTTTTTTTTCCTTGAATGGTCGATGAGCTTTTGTGATCACATCCCCCCCCCCCCCCCCTTTTTTTTTTCATGTCTCATAGTCTAGCAGCAACCAAAGCACCAATATTTTCCCAAAATCTTGGAACAATGCGGTCCTCCTTCTTGAAACTCTTCATCTTTATCTAAGGCTTGGTCTTTCTGCTTGCCTTAATGTTGTCCTGAAGTCACTGCTGGCCCTCTCTCTGACGTTGTTCCACTTGCTCATTGCATCAATCCCATGTTTTGTGTTGGTCTGCTGCCTCTTCTCGTACCGTTTTAGCGATGTCTTCATCAAATATAGGGGCACCTCTGACCTTGATCTTTTCTTCCTTGTCCAGAGCCCAGTGACATCTCCACTTCTTATGAGCTTCTTTCGCACAGCTGTCACGGCAGAAGGCAGCTGCTGCCTCCTGTGATGTCTTTTTCTTTTTCATGTAGTGCTCAGCAGCTAGGCCTCCTTGACTCGACTTGGGTCACTTATTCTGGGTTGGCTTAGTAACTGGCTTGGTGGCTTGTTTCTTGGCCTTGTGCTTACCACCTGCTGGTTCCTTATCTCCGAGAGCCTCAATCTTACGGCTAAGATACCGTCGAGGCTCATCCATAAAAGTGACACATTTTAGTACGGCTGAGTGCATGCTTCCATTGGCTTCCTTTTGTGTCTCCGTTTTCAATACATTGGCTTGCAGTGGCTGGCTAACTCTCTGGCAATGTTCTGGCTCTAGCCGCCCCATATTGACGCTTGAGTCCTTTGCATGAAGCTCTTCAATCAAATCAATCAATCAATCAAATCAAATTTTATTTTCGCTTCAGACAATACAGCGCATTGTCACTGCAAAAATAGGGGACCAGAGAAAAAAGCTGCGCTTGCGCAGCTTGACTAAGCTCTGGTCACCCGTACAGCAGTAGTGACAGGGCAAAATATCTAACAAGTCTATATAGCCACAGTATATACAATGCGATTACCAAAAGTAGTTATGCAGACTACGGTGTTCTAATGAAAAAAAAACATCAATGTATGTTTTAAGTTACAATCAATTTAGTAAAACCAGCTACTGTAAATATACAAACATGAGTAGTTCTAATACATTTGCATAAAGATCTAGTAAGGTTTTGTTAGTAAAGTTAAGAACGTCAACATTTCTTTGTTCTAGTTCATTTAGTGTGGTTGCGAGTACATAATCAAATTTTTTTTTTCCCATAATGGGTACGCTAGAAAGGAACGTGGTATGGTGGGTGATACCTGAAAGGATAGGAAATTGTATTTGCTCAAAGATTTGCAATTTCTTCGAATAGCTGTGTTCTTCCTAATGTGGCATTTTTGTATGTTCTCAGTAGTTTATGCTTGTATATGTTGTGAATCTTCATAATTTTATGTTTGTGGAATAAAGGTTCTGTGTGTTCTAGAAACGAGGCATTTTCTATTGAACAAAGTGCTTTTTTCTGGACCAAGAATACTTGCTGTAAGTTTGATAATGTTGTGTTTCCCCATATTAGCGTGCAATAATATAAGTGAGAGTTGAAGAGCGCGAAATATAACATTCCTTTAATGCTAACAGGAAAAGTGTGACGGTTTCGGCTTAATACACCGGCTGCTCTGCTTAATTTTGGCAATAAGGTTCTCACATGTTCATTCCAGGACATATTTTCTGAAAAAATTACACCAAGATTCTTAATATGTTTCTCGATTTTGATTTGAAATGGCCCAAGAGTTATATAATCGTTGATGCTTCTTAAAATGCCCGGGGCACGGAACAACACACATTTAGTTTTCAATTCGTTTAAAGTAAGCCTATTGAACTTGCACCAGATCTGTAAGTTATGACAGAATGTATCACCCTTTCGTGTTATGGTCTCCAAGTCTCTTCCCTCAAGAAGTACCGAGCAATCGTCGGCATATATAATATATTTACAATCCTCATAGATTCTTACAATATCATTAATATAGAAAAGGAAGAGAATCGGTCCTAGTATGCTACCCTGAGGAACCCCATATTCAATAGGCCTAAGGTGTGATTTACATTTATTTAGTTCAACGTATTGGTAGCACGTTTTCAAATAACATTTAATAAGTTGTAACACTGTCTCACGTAACCCATAATCTTCTAACTTTTCAAATAAAATTGAGTGGTTTACCCGATCGAAAGCTTTACTAAAATCTAGAAATATACCCAGTGTCATGACCTTATTTTCAAAGTTGTGTTAATATTTCCTCTTTTTGAACAAGAAGTGCTGTCTCAGTGCAACGTCCCTTTCTGAAGCCAAATTGGTGATCTGTTAATAGGTTGTATTTTGTAATAAATTTCTCAATACGACAATTTATTACTTTCTCAAGTCCCTTTGAAAAGATAGGCAATATTGACACAGGACGATAGTTGCTTAAGCTATTTTTGTCTCCATTCTTGTAAATCACTGAAACGCTAGCCATTTGCATGCTGTCTGGAAAAAGCCCAGTAGAGATAGCGACGTTATATATGTGTGTAAGCACTGGTGCAATTAGGTCTATAACGTATTTGATTGGTTTTATTTCTAAATCATTCACATCACGGCTACGACTGTTCCTAAGCTTCTGATACAGCATTGTCATTTCAGGGACAGATGTCGGCTGCAAGTACATTGTGTGGGATAGTCTCGGGATACGATTAGCAGCTTCGTGACAGTAGGTGCTACTTCCGATTTCAACAAAAAAATTGTTGAAAAGGTTGGCGAGTTCGGTCCCGCCAATCGTTTTGTCATTTATAATGAGGTTGTCGATCGTATAATCCTTGGTATTCTGGTTTAGTACCTCGTTTATTTTTTTCCACACTTTGTTACCACTACGCAAGCAATCGTTGTTAAATACAGGCTTATAATATTCGTTTTTTTGATTTTTGATGTCTTTATTCAACTTATTTCGAAATTTCTTAAACTCTTTTAATTCTTCCGTTTTACGAGACTTAAGAAAGTTGGCAAAAAGCTTATTCTTATGTTTAATAAGCTTGATGTATTCATGTGCGATCCACGGTTTGCACACCCTTTTTTGTTTACGGTATGTCCGTGATGGGAACGACTCTAAATAATGTTTTTTGAAAATTTTTATAAATAAGTCATAACACTTATTGCTGTCTTCAAGAAGAAATACTTCCCTCCAATCTGTTTTAGAAATTTTATCCCGAAACACCTCTAGCGCTTGAGACGATATATCCCTGTACACGAGCTGAGGCCAATCCCTTTGTTGCAATGAACTGTTACGGTTAAGCATGCAAAATGTAGGTAGGTGATCACTGACGTCGCTGTTGATAACGCCAGAGAGAATGCCATCAGTGTTTCGGTTAGTAATGAACAAATCTAGCACAGATGCTGATGAAAGAGTAACGCTTGTAGGTATTGATGTAAGATTTTGAAAACCGTTGCTTTGTAATACAAGCAAAAAATTATTCGCCGCACTCAAGCCTTTTGCAATGTCAATGTTCATATCACCGCCTATTGTTAGTAACCATCTGTTTTCACTGGCACATGAAAGCAAAGAATCGAGAAACTTCAAGAACGCCGAGATGTTGCCACTTGGTGGTCTGTACAGAACAGCGAACACATTGCTATTTTTCTTAATACAAATGGCTTTGATATCACAAGTTACAGTGCTAAACTCTGGTAGAATTTCAAAACCTGGTATAGCAACCTGAATAGAAACTCCACCACCCCTACAATTTTTTCTGTTTAGAAAGAAATGATCGTAAGACGGTAAAACAAGGTGATCCGAATTTTCATTATACCAAGTCTCAGTGAACATAAGTGCATCGAAACTAATATTGCAGGATTCTAAAAGGGCGTGGATTTCATCAAATTTGCATTGCATAGATCTAACGTTTAGATGGAAAACATTAAAAAGCTTCTCTGGGTTGTCAGATATGATACCACGCATGTCCTCAGGTAGCACGAAGTTAGCATTCATGTTTCTACAATCTGGACAATAGAAGTTTTCGCGCAGGGGGTGCGCATCCTTATCCTCTGGCGGTAATCTTGTCCAAATCGCTCTCGCGTTTTATTGCCACGATGGATGAAGTCTCATCGCGACGGGCGAAAATG